ATCTGACCATGGAATAGATATTCTTGGTTCCAATGTAGTACATCGTAGTACTCAACTTTTGATATCGTATTTGCTGATTTAGATATCTTAATTTTAATTATAAATCCCATTGTGACAGAGAATAGAGTTTCATATTTTATGTTTTTCTCTCTTGACACAGCTCCTGTGACTAGCTCATAGATTTCCAATGACATCTCCTGCTACTAAAAAGCTCCTTTGAACTGAGTATATGCTCTTGCATCCATAGCAAGTGTAACTAAAGCAAGTCCAAGGCTTGAAAAAGTTATTAGTGGAAAAGCATACATATATATATTGAGTTTTTATGGAGAATTTCTCTTGAAGATAAAATCGAAAGAAAGATAGAAGCTCTGTTGTTTTTAATACCTTTTTTTGGTGGAATACTCATTCTTCATTTTTTTTAATGACCGTGGTGTCCAGGCTAGCTTGTGTGCACCTCGGCCAATACTCATTTTTCATTCTTAAAGAATTAAGTGCATTAGAAGGCCTACTTTGTAATACCTTAAGGGCCTCTAACACACATTGCTCTCAAAGTTATGTTCTTGGTGTCTTTAGAAAAATTAATTTAATATATCAATCAAGATGGCCTGCTTCCACTCAGTTGATGAGCACTGGTAACTTGTGCTGGATATCAGGACCTCGTTTGACCTGAAGAACAATCTTTTTATCTGTGATCAGCTCTTGTTCGACATTTTGGCTCTTCCCTTCCTTAAACGTCTCTCTCGAAGTCCATTCTAAGTAGTGACATGTGAGATATTTGTTTTTCAACCACTGGTAAATTCTTAGTATCAAGTCATCAGATTTTATACTTTTAAGATGTTATCTTCTATAATTCAAGTGGTCTTTGATAAATTGTGCCAGCAAAATTCAATATTATGGTCCAAGTGGACACCTCTCTTGTTTCCGAGTTAGAGCAGATTCCAGTGTATAATCAGTTAATGTTTTTTTGTTTATTGGAAATTAAATATATTCTAATATTCTTTAACCATCTTTTGCACCAATTGTCTGATTTGTGGTTGGCCTTCATTTCAGCTCTCCAACTAATCATAAAGAGAAAAATATAAAGAGAATAACAGCCTTACCTGGTGACTTGGTCAGTACCCCTCATTATGATGCAGTAGTGATCCCTGAAGGACATTGTTGGGTTGAAGGCGACAATCAGGCTTGGAGCTTGGACTCAAGATCCTTTGGCCCTGTACGTTACATATTACTCCATATTCTTCTGCTAATGAAGAGGAATTTAACATAGAAAGAATCCAATATACTTTGTAAAGTTAATACAAGGTTACATTAAGAAACTTTAGCTAATGTAGGTGACATACAAGATCAATAGAATTGGCAATCATATTGGCATAAATTGCTAAATGTGGCATTCTTTTGACCCTGCCTCCTACTCACTTGTGGTGAAGGGGTGAATTTAACTTTTGGACATCCTAGTATGAAGTGTTCAACTTTTCCCGTTTGTGTGAGGAGTTGATGATTTTATATCTACATTCATTCTACTTTTAATGAATCACTTAGTAAGATTATGTGTTCAGCAAAAATACAGCTTCTTGGATGAAAACTCAGGATGCCTATCTTTGCATATGAATAAGTTGATCTTTTAGACTTATTTTGTCCAAAAGTTACTTGCTCATTATAGATCCTAAAGTAAAACACAGATTATACCCTGTCAATGCTATATCTTATGTGGTGCGTAAGAAAGGAGAGAACGAGTGGAGTTCTGAGAATGAGAGTGTTAGTGTGACCTTATCTGTGTTTGTAATCAGCTTTCGTCTAGCTCAGATGATTAGTTTGATTGACTTGAAAAACTTTCTTTTTCAGATCCCTCTTGGTTTGGTTCGTGGAAGGGTTACCCATGTTGTGTGGCCTCCTCACCGGGTTGGTAAAGTTGAAAGAATGACACCAAAGAGCCTAACACCTTTCTAATTGTATTTTTGAGTATATCATAGATTTCAATTGTATTATAGCCTGCATAATCATTGTTCTTTATAGCACAGAATCAATATTTCAACTTTAGACTATTGTATTGTTGTTTTCAGCTCCTTTTCGTCAGACTTTGAACTGTTACCTTGCTATTTGCTATATTCTCGTCACTGTACACGGATTTGTTGCACTTGAGCAGAGGACCTTTCGGAAACAGCCTATTATTTCTAGAGAATTATTTGATTTATCTAATTATACTGCCACAACTGATGGGGAGGAATTGTAATTAATTTTTACTGAATGGTTTTTCAGAACCATCCGAAGGTGATTCATTTTCTTTATAGGGTGGAAAATAGAATAATAATTTGATTTGTCCAATTAAATTTTACTGGAGGGATTAGTGCCACATCACTATATTTTGGGCGGTTAATTCTAAAGGTATTTGTTGTCTCTTGAGATAACATTGGGGCTTCTTTTATCCAAGAAGTGGAGTGTACTAATGGTCTATTTTGCATTGTTTAAGGGCAATTTTATTAATGTTTGTTTAAAAAAAACTCGTAGAAATATAATATAAGGAGGCTAGAATTTGTTACTTTGTCTGATTTTTCTTTTTGGAAAAATATTCCTTTTCTATTAACGTTACTTTCCTTTTATTTCAAAAAAATTACGTGCAAATTAAAATTGATGGCCTCCGACCAAGTCACAGATACTTGCTTTTTCTTGTGCTCATGAGGTGCGTAAAGTATGAATCTTTATTTAACTATCCTCTTTTTAGATATTGAAAAGGACTACAAAATATGATTAAAGTGCATGTATTTATTTGTTTATGAATTACGCGTTATCTTTCTGTTTTTATCCTAAAGAAGTAATGTGAATAAGAGTGTATTTATTTGCACACTCTTATTCACATTCATATTTCCCCCATTAATTAGCTTTAAAGCATTAAATCATATTATTGATTGATATAAGACCACATGTTGGTCCAGTGGTTTGAGCTTGGGACTTCCATGTGGAGGTCTTAAGTTCGAAATCCTTGCCAGCGAAAGCAAGGGGTTTGCCTTCTGGGTCGAGCTCGTCGCACCAGGCTTGCCTAGTGTGGGTTACCTCTCCTATGTGGTTTGCGAGCTATTGCATAAGAGCGGTGGTTTTATCCTGTGCGCACCCAAAGGGTAGCGGCTGCGGGTTTCCCTTGTCATCAAAAAAATAAGACCACATGCAAAATGCTTACACTAAATTAGTTATTCACTCTTTTTTTTTTTTTTGTCATGTTATATTTTAAAGTCAATTTGACTAACTTTCAAAGCTAAATTAAATTATATTAGTTTGATATTTTAAAATAAAAAATTAGATTTCAAAAACTATATGAAAATTACTATAAGTAGTAATTTTTTCATATCAATATGATTAAAAAGTACATCTTAAAAATATTAATCAAAGTTGATATCGTTTAACTCTAAAAAAACATGACAACTAGAAAAGAACGGAAAAAAGTAATAAATACTGCTAATTTCTCGATCTATGCCATACATTTTCCTTTTTAATATGAATATATAGTCTTTGCCCCTAAAAAGAAGAAGAAAGAGTAATATGAAACGCCGAGGGGCAGAAGTGTAAATATAATCATGCAAATAACAAATTGCAAAGAAAAAGAAAAAAAGAGTTTAATTGGTATTGGGTTTTATGAAAAGTTTTTTTTTCGCATGTATAAATAGATGCATAACACTTGGCTCAACAATTCCGGTCGATTACTTTCTTCTCTGCTGCAAAAGGTAATATCAATTGGGTTGCTCTCTTTTGTGTTTTTCTGCAATGGGTTACTCTTATTTTGATCAATTGTTGGGTTTTTCTTGATTTTGCTGACACTAACTTTGTTTATTTTGAAGGGGTTTTAGTTTGATCGAAGAGGATGGGTAGGCTTTTTGTAATCACTCTTGAAGGAAACATCTATAGCTGCAAGTACTGTAAAACTCATTTTGGTCTTGCTGATCACATTATGTCTAAGGTCTCTCTTTTATCTTTTTTATATTCATCTTCTGTTTATTTATATCTATAACATAACTACTTTAATTTGCGACACTTGAGCCAAGGGTTCTATTTGGGTATGTTGTTGTTATTTATATTATATATAGCATGATAGCCTTCAGGGGCGGAATTAGGCTTCGAGTCTTAATACCAAATTAGTTGGGGTCGACTATTTCCATCCTATAATTTTCATTCATTGTTGTTTGATTTTACCCAACCATCAACCTACTATAATCTTCCTCTTTTATCCGGTTGTTAAATTTATTTGATTATAATTCAACATAAGTAGAAAGTTCGTATTTTTGGGTCATTGGTAAACAATTTGTTGGGCAATACTCAATGCTAAACTATAGTACTATACTTTGTACATAGGCGGAGTTTTTCATTTTTGCAACATGTGGTTGGTTTATGTGTGACAGTTGAATTGTTACTTTTCTGCTAGAAGAAATTTTCCTGTTTATCCGGGTTTTGGACTAACTAATATGTTGTACAAGGCCTAATGTAGCTGCATGAAACTTGGTACATGGTTGCAAATGGAGAAAGAAGTTAATTTTCTAACTTAGTATATCTTCCCCCTTGGAACTCTCAGTATCTGAACAGGTCACAGGGTGTGGACTGGGGGAAACTGGTAGCTAAACATGGTTAAGATTGATAGGTAGCAGGCGCTCTTATTTGTTTAACCTGTGGATTATATGGAGGCAGAGGGTGTGAAACTTCAGCCATCAAGGACTTAGCTCATGAACTTCTGAGATCTTTAGGTGTCTAGAGTGCGGGGAGCAGTTATAATTGCAGCACTCATCCCTGTCCTCTTAGTAGCATTCATTTTTTCGGGAGTGCTTGAATACTTCTTTAGTTCACCTTTCTGTTGCATCTACCTGCTCCCACTGCTGTTGCATCCTAGTGCCTTGAGCCTAACTAGCTGGTTGAGGTTGGTGCAAGATTGGACTAATCCCTTCTCAAGATTATGTTCCATCTAGCAAAGTTTTATTGCTTTCTAGTGAAAGGGATGTCATAAATTCTTAATCATGCAGTGATGTTTCTTGCCTGCAGGTTCATTAACTCTTTTATTTCCTGTCTTCTGAGATATCCTTCAGTCTAGTTTTAGAAGGAAGTATTCTGTCTAAATACCTTTACAGGTGGTTCATAAAATTATTGTTTCAATTTGCTCGCAAGTGGCAAAACATCTGTAGTCAAGCTACTAATACATACACAAGGGTCCTGATTTTTCTCTTATGGCATGGTGTCAGCTTCGTGGAGAAATGATCATCCATCTTTCTGGTTTCTCCATCATCTGTTTGGTTTCTGAAATTGTGTACTTCGTGCCTCCTTTTCTTTTATTGTGTGTTTTTACCAAATCCTTTATCGTACTAACGTTTCTGTACCTTATCTCAGCTTAGTGTGGCTATTAATTGTCTTAATCCTAGTATGTTATCCCTGTTGTCCAAATTTACATGGCACTTCTTTTGTTATGTCCAAATTGTTTGACACCATCTAATAATATTATTCTACAGTCTACACGACTTTGCAATTGTTGTTGATAAGGTTACAATTTTCATCATTCAAATTCATTTACCTACTCTAGTATTAAAGTTTGAGTGATGTTTTCTCTACCAAGCTGATATCTTTCTCTACTATTAATGTACTGTGAAGTCCAATTGATAACTTAAATTTTATACCCACTCAAGTACTGTACATCCATATTAGATGGATTGGAGGCATTATTTACTTTTGAATTCCAAAAACTTGTAATATGCATGCTATTTGTATACCTTTCTTAAACTCTGAATTGATAGATGAAAATGAATGGTATTCAGCTGGATTTCTTTTATGTAGAACAAGCATTATGGAAGATGCAAACTATGCAAGAGGAAGCTGGGTGGCCTATATGAAGTCTGTTTTGTAGTATCAAATTTGGACTGATGTCTTGTTTAATGTTTTTCTCTGGAGTTAGGAACTAAAGCTTTCAATGATTGAAATTCTGGCTCTGAGTTTAGTTAGTCTGTTGGGATATGTCGGGCTTGATAATATCTGAAATGGACGTGATCTTAATGAGGTCTGCTGAAGATTGCTATCTCCTACACTAGGTTGTCTTACATAAGTTTGCTGCAGATTGTTGCTTCTTATAAATAACTAATTTTTCTGTCAGACTATAAATTGACAGTTAATATTTTGCTGTGTTTTTTGTCTAGAATCATGAGTGTTTGCACATTAATATGCCATAGTTTGTACTATAGGGGTTGTGATCTGGACTTTCAGTTTGTTATTAATTGTTAGAGAAAATGTTTTATAGTACCGCTATATGATTCTTTCCTTTGTTTTGTATCCTTAAAAAAAATGGTTTGAATTGGATGTTGGGTGCTTGTTGTAGTATGTCCAACATATCTAAGGTCATGGCGCAACTTCAGATTACCTGGTACATGATCTTAGATAGGAGAGTGTGGAGGTCGCATATTAGGGTAGCAGGTTAGTAAGCAATAAGCAGTGGAGTGTTGTCTTGCTTTTCGAGGGTTTAGGCTTGTTGGTGTTTGTCGCAGTACTAGCCGTCTTCTTGTAGTTTTTGCTTTTGATATCTATCTCCATCGGGTTTTTTTTGTTTTTTGGTTATCGTACTAGTCTGTTGTTATTATTGTTCCTTTCTTGTAGGCTCTGCATTGCTTTCCTTATTAGTTGTTAAGTTTTCTTCTTTTTTTTAACTTGGATTTTTACTGCACTTGAATTGGGGGTCTTTCAGAAACAACCACTCTACCTCCACGAGGTAGTGGTAAGATGTGCATTTATTCTAGGCTCCCCATATTGCACTTGTGGGATTTCACTGGGTATGTTGTTGTATTCTTGCTATTAGAAACTTCATCAGATGTACCATAGTAGGTAGACCAATGCAAATCTCTGACTGATGTGTACAAGATGTAACGACTAAATAAAGGATCAATCTGAAAATGTTTTTAAAAGTTAAATCTATAATACACTGTACATGATGAATGAAATATGACCTTACTTTCAGTATATCTGTCCAATGAGACTGAATATCCTTCATTAGACATACCAACCTCTTTCTCTTTTTCTTTTTCTCTGTTTATAAGTAGAGCAAACTGCTATTTCATATAAAAGCATCACCACTCAGCCTCAGTGTAGTTGACTAGATTTGCTGTGAGCCAAGGTTGGTTAATTGCTTCTTGTTGTTTCAGATTAGGCTATCTAGTGAATTATTCCTAAATGGTACCATTCCTGTATTCTTATGTATGATCTATAATTGTTGTGAGTAGTACTATTGCTGGATTCTGGTATATGTTGTCTTCATGCTACTATTTGGAAACTGGCTAGATTGTACTATGATTCTTTTTGAAATTGGTAACTTAGATTGTACTCTGATTCTTTCTGGTGTGGATTATCTGTATACTACCTCAGGCATGTATCCTAATTCTGCCCTTCACCCTTTTCTCCAGTCATTTCAATGCAGGCATGGGAAGGCTTACCTCTTTGATAAAGTGTAAGTGTTCAATATAACCTACTATTTCAGATGGATTTTCTAACTCTATTAATGCTAATGCAGGGGGGGTCCCTTGAAGGTTGAGATTAAATTTGGGAAACTAAATTCCTATAAATTTGTATAAATATTTCCCCTATTACTTTAATTATTACTTCTTTCTGCTGGGATTTTGCTTCAATGTTTGAAGTACAAGAATTTCCTATCCTGTCTCAAATAGAAAGCCAAACTCATTTCTTGAATTATGTATTGCGGAATCGCAGAAAATGTGGCTAGTCACTGTATCCTATAACATGCTTTCCACTTGCAAGAGTGCATATTATGTTCTACTCCTTTATTGGCGTTGCAGTGTGAATGTTACTCTTGGAGAGAAAGAAGAGCGGATGATGCTGACTGGAATCCACACTGTTGTTGACATATTCTGTGTGGGATGTGGCTCTATTGTGGGGTGGAAATATGTAAGTCTCCTATTCACTATTTCATGACTCTGCAATAGTCTTCGACTTTTTATGTCTCTGCTCTAGTTATCATATGATATGTTATACCAATATCGACTGAATAATTTCAGGAAGCTGCGCAAGAGAAAGACCAAAAGTACAAGGAAGGGAGGTTCATCCTTGAGAGGTATTGTAGTGTTTCTTTTACCTTACATTTGGTGTCTGATCATACATCAAGACTTTTAGACATACACAATATTTCACTTATTATCTGCAGTTAGCAAATAATAATGATTTTGACAATCAATATTTGCAAGTAGTCATGTACACAACCTGATCATCCAAATACTTCTTTACGACTTCAACTTGAAGTAATTTTTTTTCCAGCTTTCAACCAAACATTGTCCAAACACCTATTGAGTTATTTTGGTTCTTTTTGCTAAGTAGGTTTAAGATCTTGGGTCCAGATGGAAGCAACTATTCAATACTTCAAGATGCTCAGCTCGGAGGAAGTGATACCGATGAACCTTGACTAACCTTCTGCTTCACCATTCATTATCATTTAGAATCAAAGATTTATTACAATTGTACATCCTCTCAACTTTCTTTGTCGACACAAGCAATCTATAATTGCTTTTAGTACAGATGCAAGTAGCTTATATAGACAAGTTTTGCATTTCGAATGATCAATTACTATACTTTTAGTCTCTCTGGTTTTTCCATCTCAAATTGCTCTTGTAGTCTTTGACTTCCATTGATAGAAATTTGATATTTTATCTTTTTTCCAAAGAAAAAAAGTTCGTCTAACTTGGTATGATCTATCTTATATTTTCGCCTAATTCCTCAACGAAATGTATCTCCTACAAAATCTGTAAATTGATCACTTCTATTTACTTAGCAGAAAATGTTCTTACATATTAAAACTCATTATGATATGTATTTATGATCAATTAATTGTATAGTATCCAATTAAGAAGTAACAGTTGTCAAATTAGTTTATTTTTACTTACTTTTTTGCCTACAGGTATCACAAGTCGGCTGAACCTACTCTAACATATAGATAGGAGAACCTTAACACCCAATTTTAAACATAAAATACAAAAGTGAACAAAATATAAACTAAACACCCTGTTTAAATAAAGAATACTCAAACTTAGTTAAAACAAAGTATTTTTGTTAAGTATTACATTAAACTCTAAGTTCCTATCCAACATATGCGCGAATGAGAGTTTCAAAAATACCTATAGATTTCCATGATTATTAGTTTTCAATTTTGTTTTACAAGATGTTCCGTCCATTCCTATTTATATGTCACCATATTTAGAGTTTACGTCCCTTGAGACATTAGGTAAGTTTACCATTATACCCCTTATTTAGTGTTCTATTGTTGTCAAGTTTTCAATAAATGAACATATATTAATTTATTTTGATTAAGTTAAATTGACCTATGAACATGAATTAATCATTTAGTTTGTCAAATTTATACTTTCAAACCTAAAAATTTAATGTTTCATTATTTTTAAAAAAGTCATAGACACTCCTAACTGTTCACATTGTCCTTTTCTTTATATGCTATAAATATAAAATCTTGTTATGTTTGATAACTAAGAAAAAGTACATATATATTTATATCTACTTTAATAATATATTATCTTACTTCATCAATGGAAATTTTGGTCTCAAAATGTTTTTTCATGAAAAATGCAAACAGGTCCCCACCAATCACCAGCTAATAAAAAACAGCCCGGCCCATTAGGCCCATAAAATGGGCCCAAAATCTTTTCTGGCCCACACTTCGTAGATTGAAAATACCCAACCACGTTTATTTATGAATTTTTAAAAAATAAAATACACAAAACAGCCCATGTTTAAGTCTAGGGCCTTGTGCACCTTTTCAAAATATTCTTCACATCAATAATTTGACTTGTCTTATTCTATTACATCCTTTTTTATGTGTTAAACAGTTAAAAGAACACATTGTTAACGGGAGAGGAGCGAAGCGGAGCTTAGTCGAATATTTTTCTTTAAAAATTACTTCTATCTTCTATCAAATCACCGTTACTATCATAATCGTCAACCACTATCACTAACACATCTGCAATCACAATCAACATTACCTTTGTCAATCATTAACACACCACTAATACTAACCACATCTACTATAACATATCATCTCTATCATTATAATTATATCAACTAATATCATCGTTATTATCGTCACCGCCACTCCACTACAACTGCAACCACTTCGTTCTATCCATACTACCAACCATCATAACTAGCATTATCATCAACCATTACAATTCCATAATTTTATATCAACTAATATCATCGTTATTATCGTCACCGCCACTCCACTACAACTGCAACCACTTCGTTCTATCCATACTACCAACCATCATAACTAGCATTATCATCAACCATTACAATTCCATAATTATAATAATGGATGTGGTAGCGATTGTCAATAGTGATTGACAACCGCGACAGTCGTCAATGATTGTGATGACAAAGATGGTTGATAATTTGTAGTTGATGATGGTAATATAGTGATAGTTATAATGAAAAAAAAAAAGAGTTAATGATGATGACCGGTTATTATGAATAGAATGGTGATGAAAATTATTCACATATATCTTTTTAATAATATTAAAGACTTTATTCAAATAAAATAAATATTAAAATATTAATATAAATAAATACACTTAATAATCTAAGATGCGTAACCACAACCAAATAAAGTCAGTCAAAGTGTGTGAATATGCCTAAACTTGTAATCTACAAAAAAAAAAAATATTAATGACCTTGTGACATCTGTTTATTCTTTAACTTGTACGCATTTCTTATAATTTAATTTAATACATGTGTGTGGTTTATTTGTTTACGTTATTAATTATATTCATCATGTCAACATCGTGCTACTAAACTTTGTTTAAATTCAAATCACTC